TCGGGAACCGTTGCCATTTTGCAAGAAAAGTGAGTGGTAGATGACAGTAAAAGGGGCTTTTATAACTAGCGTTCCAAAACGGCTTTGTTGGTTAGAGGCAGGCGTTGCATGACAGAGTCAACTGCATAGGACACAAACTGCTCACAAACAACACACTCCCATAGCCACGCCGGGTTTAGTCACGGCTGATTTAGGCTACACAAGCAACGAAAAGAGGACACCGATCGCTTATTATTACCAATAATTATAACCAAAGATGATTATGGGTGATTATAAACGAAGTATATAGCGCCGGCCATACTTTGGTTATAATCACATGCATGCTCGTAGTATCTTTACGTGTATAAATGTGGCGAGCGTGTATAAGCTCTTAACCCTAAGTTTCTCTTTCACGGCCAAAAAGCGTTTTTTTTCTTTCACGCCAGCAGCAGCAAATTAATGGCAAAGAAGGCGAAGGCCATTGCTATCACTGCAACGAATGTGTCTCTGCTAGAAGAATGGCACAGCGGCTTTCACACACAATCAAGGACTGCGAAAAGGAAAAGGCGGGCGCAGCGTCCAGCAATTGATAATTCGGTCTTTGAATGCCAGGGAGTTGGGGGCATGCTTTCTTATGGAAGACTATGATGTTTATGCCTGACGAACTGCGATACAAAGAAGGTGCCGTCCGTGGGGGTGACGCAGTCTTTCGTCTGATTTTTGAGGCGCTATGGGAGAAAAAATTCCCAGAGAATTCAGTGGGAGGCGACCTTGTGAACAGGAGTCGTTCTTCAGCGATAGACCGCAGCTTTGTACCCCGGCGGCAGGAATTCTAAAAGGTGGTGGCGTCTTTCTGGTGACGGTCGCCGTTTAGTGCTGCGATAACCTTACCACGTTCAAAGCGTGGGAACGTCAAAGCTTCCAAACTTAAAGTTTATCCTTTCTGTTGTCGGCGGAACGATAATTTATTAGTTTTGGAGAGAAGGATGTGACCAGTTGGAGTAGGTAGGGGCGCTGAGGCAAAATCCTTTGAGCGGTAGCAGACTGTTGCGTTCTGAGCCTAAACCGGACCGTGACTAAAACCGGCGTGGCTATGAATGGTGTTGTTTGTGAGCAGTCCGTGTACTAAACAGTTTTCTCTGTCATGCAATGTCTGCCTGTAACCAACAAGGCTGTTTTGGAGCGCTTGTTATAAAAGCCCCTTTTACTGCCATCTCCCACTCACTTTTCGTGCAAGATGGCAACGGCCACCGAAACTCCGCTACCATGGCCCGGGCTAAGCGCTATGCTTGAACTCAGGGAAATGAAGTCAGACAATTTGCTGTTGAAATGTCTATTCAATTCGCCGAAACTCAAGCTGCTGAGCACACCCGGGACGCCGAACTCTATTTTGAAAAAGCACATTGAGGTGAGTTATTTTGCAACTTCACTTAATTTTTTTCCCCCATTAAAATGCCATGGTTACGTTTTGTTAGCCAAAAAAACAAAAAAAAAACAAAAAAAAACGCACCTTTCTTTTGAGATCGTTTTGTTAGTGGCATAGTTTTTCAGCTACATTACACAACACTCATTAATGTAAGCTAGCAGAAACTCTTGAAAACGGCTTAATTTAGTTTTCTTGTATATTTCAGAAGGAGGGTAAACCAATCAGGGCAGTTATATAAAAACACGCCTATTTTATATTTGTTCAAGTGTGCGATTTACTTACAGTTTTTTCTATACTAATTCGTGATGCAGTTTATTTAGTTAATATTTCGTTGTACCACACAACTGATAACTTAGAAACTAACAGCGGTGCTTCGCATAAGTACCAATTTGTTTCGCTTTTTCGCCAGTCCCTCCGTTCGCAGAAGCTGTCAGAGTTCGCGGTAATTTCAAAGAAACGAAAGACCGAGAATACAACCCACTGTCCCGACGCGCTTTTGTTGAAGCAGATGAAGATCGATCGTATGCATCACGTTCCTGTTCCTCAAGAACGGTTCGACAATCTTGTGGAGATGTTTGTGGTTGAGGCGCTACAGTCATGTACTAACAGGTGTCATATACTAACATTGAAACACAGGGTAACAACAAACTAACGTAAAAGTAACGTTCGTTAGTCACGACAAGTAACGACACCGGTATTTCGTTAGATTTGCAAAATGGTAATGGGGCTCTGTAACACGTTAGTTTTTTTTCCAAGTTAATGCGCCGTTATCACACCTGCAACTGAGTACGACCAAGAGAGACAAGACCGGTTTTTAAGCCTCTTCTGACGGCGTACAGCCTGCTCCGCAGCAGCGCATCCGGTCGTCTGCCGTCGCAAGAGGCTTAAAGGTACACTGACACCCCCCAAATTTTTTTTAAATTTTTTTGCCTGGCGATTTATTATGGTGTCAGAAGACTACCCAATTAATATTTTGCAACAGAGTCACGTATGTTTTTAATAAAGCCGAAAAAACGCCACTACTCGAAACCGAAACTGAAACCCGCCAACGGACGTCGAAGGTGTGGAGAGGAGAGAGTAGGGAGTTTTAGAATAACGTACGCAATTTTAGCGCACGCTAGAGCTAAATTTAGCGCTTGTATTAGCGTACACGACGCGAGAGACTTTTAGAATAGCGTTTCTCCGTCGCGACGCAAAAGCCCAAGCATCTCGCGCTTGCGACGCCACCAAGATACAGTCACAATTTTTATTTCACACATGAAATGCTGTAACTTAAGAAAAAAAAAGTTTTTTGGTCCAGAGTATTATTTTAGATTAGTTTAAACGTGAGAATGCGACGCGAGCGGTTGATCGGTCGTTCCGCTTGCGTCGCCTCGGCAAGAGAGGTCTCGTGCACTGACCTTCGCACACCGTACCTTCGCCGAGAAATGTTCGCGTGTCACAAGCATCAAGCTATCGGTGATCGTTGGCAAACCGAGTACAATGTCGTCCCGTATTGAAAATCGCAGTCGCGAGGATGCCGCCGACGTCGCACTCACGACGTCGTCAAAGCAGCCGCTGACATAATCCTGGAAGCCGCCATTTCTTTTTAACTCAGCTCGTCTTGGCTTTAGCCAACTTCTCATCACGAATCCTCTTTGGAGAAGCGCAAAGACTCTTTGCGTACGCACGCTATTTCCGAGAAATAGCGCACGCTAAAATTGCGCACGTAAAGCGCAAAATCTGGTTTGCGTTCGGAGCATGCGCAGTGGCGACGACGCTATTCTTTGCGCACGCAAACCTTTAGCGTGCGCTATTCTAAAACTCCCTAGTGAGTGGCGGAAGTCACGTGGCTACACCTAAACGTGCGCTTTTTGTTTTTTCCGCGCGCAGCAGACGAAATGCGCTGCGGGAACCGCTTGCCCTGCGATTCCTTTGCAGTTATCTTTGTTCCGCTCGTAGTTCTGCGCTTTAAGATGAGTTGTTTCGTACATTCGAAAGTTGGAGATGAGTAATGGGTGGCCGCTGTGAATTTCCGTGATCGGCTCCGAAAAGAATACCCCTAAGATGTTGCGTGAAAAGTTGCCTCACATGCCCTCCGTCCGAAAAAAATTGGTATTGTGTGGCAGAGTCTGCACATGTTTCCGAGAGATCAGCGGGATCGGGACCAATGGCTGGCTGCAATTCCTGCAGAACATTTACGGGCACCTCAGAAAGCGGACGCTACCCGATTTTTATGCTCCTTGCATTTTGTGGAAAGTGATTACATTCAGTTCGCAGGTGTCAGAAAGGAAATCCCATATTATTTAGTTCAGCGACGTTTCGTCCGCAACATTTTCTTTTTCAGTGATAATTGCAAAAAAAAAAAAAAAAGAATTGCAAAATGTTTGAAAAAAAAAAAGAAAAGAAACACAAAAACGTAAGCTTACGCAGGATCGTACCCGGTTACACCGCATGTGAAGCGGACGTCTTTCCACTAAGCTACTGGAGAAACACTTTCGATAATAATAATGCAGCCTGTCAACTGCAGGTTGGAAAGTTTGCTGCCGATTCTCTTCCAGTAAGAGCACTACCGGGTCGAAGTCGGGCAGCATCACCCATTGACCACATTCACACTTAGTAAAGAAATCGTGCGCGTGCACATTCAACTCGAAGTACCCACTTCGTGCTTGACATTTGCTCGAAGGATGTCTTCAGCCACGAGAAGGGGGCGAAAGTTCGGCGACGTCTTCGTGAAAATTGGCTTGGTGGTCGGGCGTGTCGTACGGGATAAATAACCAATTCTTTTATCGGTTCAAAATATGTCGTTCAAAGAGGCAGAATTCGCCGGTACCGCTAACGAAAGTTCTGAAGTAGAAGTCCCACGCCCGTCGTCCGCTGCCATCGCCGTCCCCGCAAGTCCCACGATTCGCGAAACGATGACATGTTGAGAATTACGCAGCGAACGCACAGAATGCTTCCGGTTCTCTGTGCAACTTTTTTTTATCAATCAATCTATTGGAAGCTTTAAAAAAGCCACAAAAAATGGGCTTCAATTTGTTTTCTACTTTTATTATTGAGTGTGTGCCTTCAGTGACCAACGACTTTGATTAAATTTGGTGGTTGTGTCTAAACCTTAGAAAACTGCCCGCGACCACAGAAAAGAAAGTTAGCGCGACTCAAACCGGCCAGTTCTTGATCGGCGGTTTTTGGGTGGAAAGAAACCGAATTTCGAGCCGCAAATTCTGTTCTGGGTAGTTGGGCTCTCATACGTCACGTGCAACTAAAAACCTCGGCGAGCATAAATACCCTGTCAGTGTCCCTTTAAAAACCAGTCTTGTCCCTCTCCGTCGTACTCGGTTGCTAGTGTGTGAATGGCACTTAACGAGTAACGCTATTTCGCTACTTATTTTCGGTAACGGGCTGCTGCGATTGCTAACCTGCTGCGATCGGTCAGCGGCGTGGCGCTGACCAATGGCAGCAGGCGGCGATGTCCCGGTCTCTTCGTCCCGGCATCTTGCAGAGCCCCCGAGGAGGAAGTCTGCTTACCTCCTCACACCGTAGGAGTGCTTCAGGGTAAAGGGTAATACCGAAAAATGGCAGGCGGAAAATCAAGGGTAGTAAAGGCGCCGATTACCTTCATGTCGACGCTGACGCGCAGTTCCTCGGCCCACCACTGGTAGGGGTCCCCCATGCAGGCCAGCCGGTTGAGGAAATCACGGAACTCGCGGCTGCGCAGATCGCCAGGGCACTTGCACGCCCATTCTTGCAGTAGCCTCAGGATGGTCAGGTGGGCTCCGGGCAGCTCGCACGAGCCACCGCCATGCGCGGGAGCCGCCGTCTCGCATGCTGAGAAGGCAAGAGACACTGCTCGACTTGAGGTTCCTTCGACTTGGCGGCGCCACGTAACAAAAGGCATGCACATCTACAGGACAAAACGTTCGGCGCCGTTATTGGCGCAAACATCTGTTCGAGGCGTCATTCTTGCTGCCGTTCGGCGTCAATTTGGGAGTGGACCCACAAGCAAGAGAGTTGATTTCGCTGTAACCTGGCTATAATCCACTTCGCTCTGAGTCTGCAGCGGACGCAACTACTGCCATCGTAGCAGACCAGACGGTGAGTGCGCCACACGCGTACGATTGGGTGCTGCGCGGCGACACGCGGAGCGCCAAGCCACGTGTACGCTCACAGCGCTGGGTTGGCCGGGATCGCGCATAACGTCCGCTGCAGCCTGCCTTATACGGTGAAATGAAGCACAGTTCACCTGCCACAAGGCAACATGAAATGTCATTAGCTGGAAATTTCATTTACTACAAACTGAGTTCGAGGAACTTGTTCGCAGTTCTTCTCGGACTAACCGAGGAATCTTGAGGGCAGAGATCCAGTGAGGAATTGCATTTGGAATTGTAGTAGCAAAAAGGGTCACATAAAATTTTGGTATTTATTCGCCTTACTCCATATACTGAGTGTTTCTCGAAAAGTGGGCTAAACCGTTCCGGCGAAAAGTAAACATTGTACAGAACAAAAAGTTAATGTCGTATTGGTCTCTGTTAAAGCTAGCCTCTTTGGGAAAATGAAAGCAAAAATACTTTTGGTATAATTAGTTTATGAATTACTTAAGAGCAACTAACTTTTAAATTAGTAAATTTAAAGGTATTGTCTCGATTAAGAACCTCTTGTGCATCCGTCGAAAACCACTCAATCAACTCAGAAAGCACGTACAACCTTGTACGGTGTTACAAAAAAAAAAAAAAAAAAAGAAGGCTCAATGTGAACGCGTTTTGAGGTTTGGGTTTCCGATCGAAGCGCACAACAGCTGTCCTGTGCCTCCTCCTCCGTGCTCGAGGCGAGAGCACACGGGCGCCACAGCTGGACTCCTCCTTCTACGAGGGAGGCAAGGCGGCAGCCTGCACGCCTCAGCCTCGCGGAGGGGGCGCAAAGGTTTGCTTCGATAAATAGCCGGAACCTAGTAATGCGTCCTAATTGAACGTTGTTTCGGAACGGCGTAGAATGCCATACGTGCCTCATATATTTCTAAAATAAGTTGATTTTGTGCTTTATGATAATGCCCAGCTAGTTACTAATCGAAACCATACCTCTAAATTTACGAATTAAAAATAAAAGACGTTTGCAACACCCTGGTAACGCCGAACTAGAGCGCAGCTCTTGAGGAGGAGGAGGGAAGGGTACTGAGGAAAGGGTATACCCCTCCTCTCTTCTCCTCACCTCCTCATCCTCCCTGCTACTCCTCCCTCCTCTTTTGCGCTCCTCTTCCTCCTTCTCCTCCTCGTCCTCCTCCTGCTCCTCCCCCTCCCTCCTCTTCTCAACCTCCTCCCTCCTCCTCCCCTCCCCCTCGTCCTCCCCTCCTCCGGTTCACGCGTTGCATTATGGGAAATGTCCAATAATGCAAAGCGCGGGATCCTCGTCACGAGTGATGTCACAGGGTCTCGCGCGGTGCATTATGAGACATTTCCCATAATGCACCGCGCAATTACGCCGACGGTGACGGCGGCGGCGACGCCGACGCCGCTCAAGCCGGAAACGGGCGCCTAAGAGCTGCGCTCTAAAAGTTACTTACCCGAAAGTATTTAATAAACTAATTTATAGCAGACGTAATAAATTCCCCCGACAGGCCCTTCGGCAGACACCAATACGACATTAACCTTCTTTCAGCGCAATGCAAAATTGTGCAGGAACGATTTGACCCGCGTTTGGGGAAATATCCAGTAAATTTTTGTTTCTGTCATTCAACGGTTTTACTTGACAGACTTGCGTTGAGTTTGTTCTGTACCTTAAAAATAGGAAATTACGAAAGCCATTCTTGTTCTTATCCGGTTCCCATCCGACGTTCTGATAACAGTCTTGATGCCACAAGCGCCATTTCGCTCCGAATTTGTCTCAGTTTGAAGGCATCACCCCAAAAGACCGCGTTAATATAAACAATGATACCATGCATCCACAGTACAAATTACGTGTTATATTTGAATGTTATCGAAGACACCTCAACTTTTAAATCACGTTTTCTCTTTCGAATATGGTTTCCAAACAGTTTTCTATACTGAATTAGCCATCACCATCATAGGGTTCAATGCAATATACTGTATCGCGTTTGGCAGGGTCCAAGATTAATGACTTTCATAAGAGGAGTGAAATTTGCTGGAAATGATATTAAATTTTGCGGTGTGGCAGCGGTATAAGGTTACACCAAGATAAAGTGGAAATTGCTCTGTCTCGTTGTAGGTTAAATGAAGGGGTTTCAGCCATTTAAGGCAATAATGACGTCCCGCTCCTCCCTCCTCCCCCTGGCTACGTCACTCCTCCGCACCTCAAAGGCAAACCAACCTTACGCTGTATGAACACGAATGTCAATTTTTTTTGTGTGTGTTTTGTTTAGACACGTGCCTGCTTTTGTTCTTTCAGGATAATTATTTCACCCCAGGATATTCATAGTATGGTACTGATGAACAGACGCCGACTCTGCAAGGTTCCGATCAAGTTCTACAATTCATGATCACTGACAGCTTCTAAGTCGTTCTTTGTCGAGTGACGTCCCTGCGTTTTTTCATCCCTACACTTCATTTCCTATTATGTCCGGGCGCAATCGAAGGCACGTACACGTACAGTCAGAAATACACATACTAAAACCGGAAGTCACTGCACTCTAAGAAAAAAGGGAGGAGAAAGGTAGCAAAAGCGACTGTTCCTCCTTGTTGCAGACAAGTTGCCCAGAGAAGGGAGGAACGGCAGTTCAGATGAAAGGAGGAGAGTGAGTTCCTCCTTGTTCAGTTGGCGCAGGGGTAGAACATCGCGCTACTGACCAAGTGGTCAACGGTTCGATCCCCAGGAAAGTGTTTTTTTTTTTTTTGTGAATTTTTTTTTTTTATTTTTGTTTACCAAAACACACATAAACAAACCCAGACCGATGAAAAGAAAATTAAAGTCCTTATTATTCTCCGAGACGTTTTCCTCCTTCTCCAGGCAGACCGGAGAAAGCTTTCGCCCTCCCGACCCATCTTCTTTCGGTTTCGTTTTTCGAGCACATCGCGCACGTTGTTTAATAAATTAATGTTGAGTTGATTGAGCTTCAGCGGCAGCGAAGGCCGCCTGTAATTCCGTCTTCTAGTCCAAACGTGCAGAACATTTCGGTTGCATTGACGTTTTTACCACTAATTTTATCAAATGAGCTAACGAAGCCGCTAGAAACAGCGAAGTTCCGGAGCAGTGCCAGCAGCGCTACATACACTGGGTAAGACGGCCGTCTCCAATTTGCGGGACACACGTGGAACTACAGCAGCGAAACCACGAGGAACTGTGTCGACGTTTTCGACGTTATGGAAATCGCGGGAACTGCGTCCAAGGAAGGCAGGTTTTCCTGCCGGCTGCCTGGGTGCCTTCCGTGCTGAGTTCGGTTCCGTTGTCCCGTGCCGAGTGCCAACCGGCGTTCAACGTGATTCTTCTGCGTGTCAGCAACATCGTCAACGTGGTTCTGTATTTCTTCGTGTCAGCGACATCGTGATGGCAGTGTTGTGGGTTGTGAACAGAAGACTGGAATTATCGCCGATGTGACCGTGTGTTCGCGTATCAGTGGTGTAACAACAAGATGAGATGACGTAAACTGTCGGGCATTGATGCCGCTGGTCGGGCCGTTATCGGAGGGGCCGGGGTGTCGCAGGATGACATTCCGCTTTACATTAAAGAGTTTAAAACCACTTGAGGGATTAGGTGCAGTCGATCGACGTGTGGATAGTCATGTTGGAACGCTGGTCTGAACGGTAAGCTCCTATCGTACAGTGGCCAATGTGACTGTCGGTCCCGGAGAGCGATTGCGCTCTGGGGAAAAGACAACACTACGAAAGTATGACGGAAAGTACGTATATTTATAATGGAAGTTTAGCATAAAAAAAAAAAAAGACAGGCAAAATCGAAAAAAAAAACGCTATCCTTTATTTTACTGTTTAAATATATTACGGTTCCTGTAGAAACTGCCCTCTAAGTGGCGCGCTGGGATGAGCGCTAGAAGTTTTCGAGCTCGCAACGGCGCAGCTCCGTACACTTAACAGTTGTCGGAAGTCGCGGCTTTGACTGCATTCAAGTTGATCGAAAAGCGATTTCTGTGCCCGTGAAGCATCACTTCCAGCTGAGTGGATATCCGCTCTACAGAGATTAATTCAAGACGGCAATTGCAGCTTTGCGCGAACAGCACAAATAGAAAAACGAACACTACAATATGAATACTGGCTACGAAGGGCCATGCGGGAAAACAAACTCATGGCTTGGAACCACATTGGAGCGGCTCGATTTATTGGCTTTCAAATAATTATGGCATGATTGAGCGTCTTCTTTTTAATAAGAGATTCATCCCCTGAGCCATTAAAAATAGCCTCAGATGTATGACATTGCTGGAAAAAAATGAACATGTTCGGAATATTTTTTTTTGCTTAGGGAGTCACCGAAAAATTCCGCACGTTCAGAACGACCACTATAAAAGACGGAAACGCAGGGCTCGCTAGTAGTGATCGGGGTAGTGTGCTGTTGTATTGATGTTTGTATGTGCGATGCCTGTGTATGCGTTCAATATATGTTGACCTGATGTTTGTAGTGTGCGCAACGTGTCTACATGTGTTAGAGATTCCGAAGAAAAGGAAACGCAATTGTGGCGTAAGAAAATAAAAATATTTTTTTTGTAAAACATGAATTGGGCGGTACCTAGCGCCACCTAGCCTAGCTACGTGCGATTACTCTGCTTGACCCTGCCATCTGGTGGCAAGCGATTTAACATCCTTTTACGCTACGCGGCTACGCCATAATTTCGTGTTACCGTGCTGAGATGAGCCAAGAGGTTGCTTCGG